GAACGTGCTGTACGATGGTGGCTGATGGAGCGGAGCCATCGACGAAAGTCGTGAAGACACGAGGAAGAAAAAAAAAGAAAAAAAAATTAACAGGAGCGTATTGCATAGTAACAAGTGTGGATTTCGAGGTGGGGGATGAGCACAGCACCACACTTCTGTGCTATTAAAATCTTTGCCACACACATATGCCAGGTGGGAGGCGTGTGTTATACCTTATTTTGATCCCCGCCTACTGGGAAAGACTTGCGATATCTGTATTAACGGTTGGTGGGCTTGTTTCTGCGGACGCGCTGCGTAAGGGCTTGCTCTCTGATAAAACAACTTTATTCTACCCAACAAACAAACAAAATTTTTGAGAGCTTGTAGCAGTGATTGTCTAAAGCCTTTTACTATTGCGGTACCAACACAACAATGCAGCTTGTTGCGTGTATGCTTTTAATTGCAACCTGCAGCCAATTGGGTAAGTTTTGAAAACCCGTACTACCCAATCCTCTCCGCCTCCCGCGCGGAGGCTGGCTAAGGGTGCTTTCGCCTTTCTTTTCTACATTATAAATGAACTACAAAAGAAAATCTTCTATTTATTTTCCCTTGGTGAGGTATTTTCCCATCTGCAAAAAAGAAAGAAAAAAAACACACGCTGAAAACGACAATATTTTACTCGTCGCTTATTTTTCTCTTTAGCGCAAGTAAGGCGCAGACTATTCCATCGAAGGGTTGCGCGCCCCAATCCAGATTTATAGCTTGATAGAACCCAGATTTAATAGTAAATCCTGCATCTTCCTTTTTGAAGAGAATCTAATGCAGCATGCCCCTGATAAAGGGAAAGTCGGTGTGCGTGATGCTGCCGGCGGCGTGGGGGCGTGCAATTTCCTGCACCGGAAATGGTAATATTGCTTCCACGCGGGCTGCGACTAGATATCGCAGCGCAAATGCTGTGGGCCAGGCACCGCGATGTCTTCAAAAAACGAACTTTGCTAAGGTATGGGTTCCCCTATGGTGCGGGGTTCGTGGCCCGGATGCCGCGATAAAGTTGCTTGACCGGCATCGCCTCGGGGAGGTTTTTTTGAGGTGGTAGAGGCCGGTGGTGGTTTGAAGAATATGAAATTTCTCAGGGCTTTCGAAGAGGCATGTGCCGCACTTCAGATTAAATGGTCGGATTTTAGGCCCCGGGATAGACGTTTTACAACCAAGACAATGGTGCTCGCGCATATCTGACTGACCACTTTCATGTGGAACATGCGGCCTATATCCAGCTACAAGAAGTGCAAAACCAAATAGTGCAGACGCAAGGGATAAGTAACCCCAAAGCTTCGCAATTAGAGGCTCAGCAAAAGACAATTAATGTGCTGCAAAGACAACTAGAACCGCACCTGGTTACATAAAATGGATATTTCACAGGGGATCCCCCCACAACCACTAGACCACGGAACTGGGAAAAGACCCACTCTCGCCAAACAAGTTGATGATTTAGCTTCAAAGGATTTTCAACCGAGCGCGAATCAGGCGCCATCGCCAGCGGTTGGCTTAGGGGGCCTTCGGGAACCCCGGAGCAAGACCGGGATGCAGTGCGTGAAACCAGACAAAAATACTCCGTAAATTCAAGGCTGTGACGAAATATTTAGTTGGCGGAACTCCGGATAAAGCTGAGTTCGGACCTTCAATCTGTCCATTAAACACCGCCTACGCCAGGTCTAGGGTATTAAAATGCACTCTCCCTTCGTATCGTGGAAATGCCCCATCGTGGCGCCAAGGTCCGGCACCAGGTTTGTTACTTAGGAAGCTAAATTTTCACAATTGCAGCACCGAATCCGGCTTAGTTCGGGTTACGCCATGGTTTGGTCGCTGCCTATTGGGTTGGCGTGCTTAAGTGCCTTACAAATAAGGCGCGTTTTGTAATGGGCAAAGTGCCTAAGCGGAGAGACTGCAGGGAAAATACACGCTTCCAATCAATAAGTTTCACGGTCGAGTGCCCGGTTTCCCGGGCTGGGGAACCCAATGCCATACGCTACGGTTCTCCCGGAAAATCGCGCCATGGCCCGGATAGAACGCGGCCTGGCTCTCCAGGGATCAAGCGGAGACCGCTCCTTGGGACGCTGTGCTGCTGGTGTTGCCCACGCCCGTGGATTGAAAGATCCCCACGATCAGGGGTTTTTGGTGAGCATGGGCGCGTTTATCCACCGGCATGTCCCACACGATCCGCCCTAATGCGGCAGGCGTGCGCAAATAAATTTCCTCCTTCCTCCCTCGGGCAGCGGCGGAAGGTCGTAAAATTGCAAGAGAAAGAAAAAAAAACCGATGGCAAGACGCGCCGCCCTTCCGCAAAGATTTGCCAAAGGGGGGCGGGGGGTGGGGCTGCAGGGTCCTGGGGGCCGGAACCCTATAGCGTGCTTTTTCCAAAATGGAAAGGCCCAACAAAAGCATAGTAAAACGCATAAATTAAATAGAGCAAAAACCAAAATTGAAACCAAAAAAAACAAATAAGGCGAAAGGGCTTTTTTCATGCCGGCTTTGGGGGGCGATGGGGGTTCTCTGCGATGGTGGCTGGCGCGGCGGGGTCATTTGCAAAGGCCGGGGAAACACGAGGAAGCAAAAACCCGGACATTATCAATAATACGCTCCTCTGTTGGAAAGTGGAATGGGCACCCAGCGCCAGGCATTTACAGACAAGGTGGTGCCTGCTGCTACAAGAGGGGTTTGCTTTCACATTAGAAAAAAACATAAAGTCTGCAACTCACCCGTTGTATAGAAGGCGTGTAAACCCTTGAAGGGGGGAGGCTTATTATGCACTTTGGCTAGGCACGCAAGGCGCATTTTATACCTATGCGCAAAGCCCATTCCCCCCTGTCATACCAAGAAACCTAAAGGTCATTAAGGCTCTCTTTAAGAAACGATCAGCTCTGCGAGCAAAATTCTCTGCGTTGGGGGAACGCAAATCGGGCTGGTATCATTCGTATAATTTTCCCAGGGGGGACTTCTCTGATGGAAGTTGGCGTGTGCAGAAAAACGCGGGTGTGTTGTTATAAGGCTTGCGGCATCAACTAATGAAGGTGCAAGCGGTGCTAAACCACAAAGAATCGCGCATTAAGCAGCTACAAGGCCAGTGCGCCTCACAGGATGCTGTGGAAACAAAGGGTCTCATGGTTGATTTTTCTGTTGAAACCCTTCCGGGGGAGCAGGGGTAGAACCAGCTCTGGCCACGGAAATGCGCCATCTTTTAAAGCGATTTGGGCAGATCCATGGTGTGAAAACTGGCTGCCCACAGGGTGGCCTTCTGAGTATTCAGAAGCTCAAGGCGCAGCCGTTCGATTTGGAATATGCGCCCGGAGGGTGGCATTCAAACGCCGGGCGGTATTACGCAATGCGCGGGGGCTGCCTCGCCAGGCCGCCTGCCCTCG